AAAGTTACCTTGCAAACATCTGTTCTATTACGCCCTACAATGGTACACAGCATGTTTTTAGTTATTTCATACTTCTTTTTCCATTTTTTGCTACATTGCATTCTGCCTAGAATTGTGACATTGACTTCCATTAACTTATCAGCAGGTCTGCTATTTTCAGTTCTCCCCCAGCCAGCCGTTTCACAGACTGTTCCACCTTCAACATCTTCATATGTCTTTGGCAGTATTGTGAAATTCACATATCGTCCCAGCCTTGCCTTATCTGCCAGCTGAAATTAATGAAAAATAAGTTAGGACATCATTGTATGCTTTACCATTCACACGGGCAGATCTGTTAAGTAGCTTTGCTTACTATATTGCTGTGGTTTGGTATGTGTAGACCCGGGGTGCTTTTGGCAGGTCCAAGGGTTGCTTCTACCCATTAAATTAAATTAAAAGTAGTAGTAAACTGTGACTTTTTGAAAAGACACAGTATAAAGCAAGACAATGGTATAATGTGCTAGTATGCATCGCATACTAGTATATGAAAGAGCAGGGCCCTCGAACCCCTCGTGTAGTGTATTGTTACTGTCTTGTCTCATGTTCTGTCCCCCTGCTACTGTATATCACTGAGCATACCCTTTGGCGCTATATAAATACTGTATAATAATAATAATAATAATAATTATGTGAAACTTACCTTAATACAAAGCCCTCCAGCGGCACGCTGTCACCGCTGATAGAGCTTTCATCTTCACCCGGTCCTTCTTCCAGGTTTGTGGGCTCCGGCAGCTTGACAGAATGGCACAGGCATGCTGTTCCTTCAGAGCACATTTGCTAGTGCTCCTTTATAAGTAAATATCTCCTGAATGGTATATATTTAGGAGGTATTTGCAGGAACTACAGGTAAACCTCATTATCCTGGCACCCTAAGGCGCCTGCCTATGTAGCCTTATTCTGGCTCCGGTCCTGCTCCCAGCTACCTCTTCTTTATCAGGTACTCTCTGAGCTGCTGAGGGAGGAAACCTGAGAAATGTATCATTCCTGGTTATATCCAGGAACCAGGGATGATACATTTCTCAGCTTTCTTCCCTCAGCAGCTCATCGAGAACATACTTGATAAAGAAAAGGTAGCTGGGGGCAGGACTGGAGCCAGAAAAAGGCTACATAGGCAGCCGCCTTAGGGTGCCAGAATAGGGGGGGGTAGTGGAAAAATCCCAATCCCCATCCACTTGTTGGGGCTTCAGATTTTAAACTTCTTCCCACCGCCTGTACTCACATATGTGGCCTCACTAAAGTGGGTCTTCTTCTGTGAGGCCGCATATATGCGTACCAGTGTTTGTGCTTGTAGCAGAGAGAGCCAGGTTTCATACTAATGATTGGGAACTGGAGCCTGAGGTTCCGATCACCTGATCACTGTGATAACCTCTGACTGGCTATGATCAGTCACTGTGTAAACCACCCATGTGTTTTTTTTTTCTCCTCTGAATGGAGAGAAAAATACATCAGAACCAGTGTGTGGGCAGCCAAATTGCACACAGCTCCAGAAGACCCAGATGTTGTAGGGAGGTCTCCGATTGCTACCAAAGTTCTTCATTTCCAGTGGATGACCCTTTGTCCTTGGGTCTTGGATCCCTCCAGCTTTCAACCTGCGTTATCAAAGCTACCCTTGACTTCACTGAGAAGGATGTTGTTTATGAGTATAATCACAAGGAGCGGTTTGTGTTTTGAACTGTTTTATTAAAGTAGTGAATATGAGCTAGATACTCTCTTGTTATAGACACTGAACTATGCATGCCCTTTGCCATCTCTGGTATGCTATATATAGATGGGCAGACAGACAATGAGTTAGATAAATAGATCAATCGATTGATCATACCTGCAAAAGCTGAATGTCATTATGGTAGTTTTTCCTGTTGAATTCCTCATGTGCAATAGATTTGTTTACATCAATGATCTGTAAATGAGGTCCCCTGTCTCTGTAATGTGCACCCAGAGTTACTGTGGTTTATATTTTCAGTTCTGGAAACAAGAGGTTAGACATAAGTGCTTTATACGAAATGGAAGATAGTAAACCCTAGCATACCTCATCTAAAATATAATACAGGTGGGTATAGGTCGTGTATAGGTGTCCTACCCTTTCATAAATTTATAGTCATATTACTCCTCAAGCCATAGTCCATTGAAGCCAGGGCTTTAAAATCTTGGAATGGTGAAACATAACAAGCTAAACATTTTAACCAAAACTATAACCGACTGATTTGTATGTTTAGTTAGCACTTGGCTGCCCAGGTCCAGCCTCCCCCCCGTGTGTTGTAATAGGGAAGAGGTTCAGATCCTATTGGGGGGCTCAGGACTTAAGAAAGAACAGGACACGCCAGAAGCACAAGACCTGTGGTCCACTTTGGAGCGCCGATCCATCAGGAAACCCTAAGGACATGGACTTCTCTGTTTGAGTCTTGCCAAGTATGGACCTTCCCCTAAAGAGACTTCACCTGTGCAGGTAACTTGGGGCAGCCCACAGTTAGGTGTAGCTAGGAGAAGGACATTTATATATGTTACACATGTTGTGCCAAGGTTCCAGTAAGGGCTCAATCGCACCATGGTACAGAGACATCAGTTTTTCTGCACATGTTCTGCAAGGCCACAACAAAAAATTGTTCTCTGTGTGCCCTGTTCACATCACAACACTGGTATCACACACAGATTTTTTCTGCACAAGAATCTGCAACATGTATAAAACTCATTGCAGTGTGCATGTAAACTGATGTCTCTGCACTTGAAATCTGCACGTCAGTTTCCATTAATTTTTTCTGCACGTATCCTGTGTACGAGGCCTAAAAGTTGATTCAACTGCTCTGAGCCTGGTATGAAGTTACTCAAAGGTGCATGTTGGGTCTTGCCATATTCCTAAAGAACCTGGGTCTGTAAAGCACTATAGAGTATGTGTACCACCACTACAAAAGGTTAACTTGCAAGGCAAAGAAGAGAAGGTAGTTGCCATGGGTGACCAAAGGAAAGAACAGTTACAGCAACCAGTTGTTTGACATGGTACTTGATTAAGTGACACGTCCTCCAGTAACAAGGGGATCGGTGTTCTGGAGCAGAAAAGCATTACAGAGATCCAAGGCCTCATCACTAGGCACAGGAAATAGTTAACTGAGGACATGCACAGGCCCTGCGCTATATTGTAGGATATTGTAATTATATATATATATATATATATATATATATATATATATATATATATATATATATATGGTGTATATTCAAGTTATTGACCAAAAGGTTAGCCAAGGACTCCTTGGTATGTTATTTTATGCATGAGGTAATTACCTTACCTTTGTTATGTTGGGTTAACCTTTTTTGTGGGTAAATATGTGGAGAGTCAGGGGCAGTTTCAGGAGTAGTTTATTTGCAAATCTTCCAGCATTGTAAAATGCAAGCTTGTCTGATTAGATTTGAGATAGGTCTTAAATATTCATAGTGTACTTGTTTATGGTGAAGAGAACAGTTTTGCCATAAACAAGACAAGGAGTATCTATTTAACTTTTTTTTAATTAAAATCTATGCATACATCTGTTCTAGGTCTAGACACAAGATCAAACATGTTCATAAAGCCAACCAATCAACATCGACACTTTGGTCAATGGGAAAAGCTGTATATTAGGGAGGGGTTTTTTTTTTGGTGGAGTTCTGTCTGGAGAAAGGACACACAGGAGAAAGTGTGGTCAGGAGAAATTGGGTCCTATGAGGGTTTCTGATGATTGCATGAGTATTCTGGATACCCTGTCATCTGCCTTGTCTGTACCTCTGTTTTATGGATTGTCGCTGAACTGATTAAATGCATCTCTCTTCAAAAGATCTCTTGGACTAGTTGCTGCGGGAAAATACATTTATAAATATACATATCAAATTAATATAAGACAACATATATGTCCAGCAGGGTTTCATTTTGTTGCTAGCAGTGGGGTAGCAGAGGTACTGTCAGGAAGGACTTGCCAATGGTGGTGGGACTCACCTGCCTGCCTTGTGGGCTGCAGTACCAGGGCTGGCCAGCGGGTGCTCTCAGCAACCAGAAGCTTACTCCTGCAGTTAGCCATCACCTGAGGCTGATTGCAGGAAGTGTATTTAAGGAATGGCCAGACCTGCAGTCAGTGCCTTGGTGTATGTTTCCCATGAGCTCCTGTACCTGCATCCTGTCTGCTTCCTGCTTGATTCCTGATTCTGCTTGATCCTGACCCTGAATGAACTCCGCCTGTCCTGACCTCGGCTATTACTGACCACTCTCCAGCATGCTCCTTTGGTACCTTGTCTGCCTGATTGTTCCTGACCGTCTGACTACGCTTTGCCTACTCCTTTGTGTCTTGTCTGCCCGATGATTCCTGACCTCGCCCGCCTGACCACTCCACCTCGCCAGCCCTGAGTGCTCTTATCTGTGTACATTCCGTTATCAGTTGGAGGTTTGGTTTTGTTATATTGTGCGTTATATTTGTGTACAACCCTTAATAAATTATATTGTTACACCATACTTGAGCCTGCGTTTCCCTGTGTCAGTTCACGCATCTCTGGTCTTACCGGGAGCCCTGACAGGTACGCTGGACTGGTGGAGTGGGTAATGGCTCTGCTTGTCCTTCTGATGCAACACATACATCAGTACAAGTGTGTAGTTACTTGGGACGAAGCATCTTAAGGAGGAACTCTGTATGTTAGTGCTGCACACAAGTGGCTCATCTCTTAGTAGGAGACTGCCTTAATGTTTGATTCTTCACATGACTGCAGCCTCTGCCTGGTTCCGGGCATTGGTGAGCATGCCTTCGGGTGAGGTGTTACCCCACGTAAACGGGCACAGTTAGACCCCACCCACACATGGATTTTGTGCCCTAGTGCAGGAAGTCTGCTCACTGATCAGATGAAGATGTTGCTATCCTATACATTGTCCTGTGTGTGTGTCCTGCAAGCACTATGAGTTGCACTTCTTCCTTACAGATTATCTTACCAGCTAAAAAAAGAATACTTACAAAACACAATGGGCGGCAGTTAGAACCCAGTCATCTTTAATTAAAATGCCTCCACAGAATAGGTTCCCGTTACGTACTATGGCCATGTAAGGTCTGGAGTGTGGATCTGCTTCTCTCCCTCCTACAATTCCAGAACAGACATCTGGACAAAATGCACAAGAGTTATAACTGGGAACCATTTATGAATTATTTATTTATTTCAGGTACTTATATAGTGCTGTCAATTTATGCAGCGCTTTACATATACAGTATAATGTACATTCACATCAGTCCCTAACCCTCAAGGAGCATACAATCTAAGGTCCCTAACTCACATCCATACATACACATATTAGGGCCAATTTAGACTGGAGTTTACGGCCCCGGCTGCTCCCGCAGGCTCCTCTCATGGTCCGCCCTGAAAGACCGGTGTAGCATGAAAATCTGTCTCCTATGAGGATCTGTCCCCCCTCGACGTATCTGCGCATGTGGAGATCGCCGATCGGCTGCTAATGCCTGAAACTGGCACATGCGCAGATACGTCGGGGCGGGACAGATCCTCATAAGAGTAGATTATTCATGCTACACCGGAACGGCGCGGGAACACGGCGAGAGGAACGCGCGGAGCAAAGGTAAGTGAATTGACACAGGGGGGACTTGGGGACTTAATATGGGGGATGAATTAATATGTGGGGATGAATTACTATAGGGGGGATGGAATTACTATATGGGGGATGAATTACTATGGGGGATGAATTACTATATGGGTGATGAATTACTATATGGGGATGAAATTACTATGGGGGATTATTTACTATGGGGATGAATTACTATATGGGGATGAATTACTATATGGGGGATGAATTACTATGGGGGATGAATTACTATATGGGGGATTAATTACTATGCTTACTATGGGGGAATATTACTATAGATGACACATACACATCATTCATCTACTCTTGGTCCGGCCCCCAGTCCAATATATGAACCCATTGCGGCCTCTCAAGTCAAAAAGTTTGCCCAACCCCTGATTTAGTCACTGTGCTGCCCCATTTACAGTTAAATATGTGCACATGAAAGAGCTGAGCTTTTCTGTGTATTCCAAACCACAACTTATATTATATAGACAACTCCACAGAAATAATGGACAGTTCAGATTTTATATGTACAGATATTTATGACAATGCTAGACTGGTCACAGCAATACTGTAATCTAATTGTGGAAATAGTGTTGCAGTAGGCTTCTAAATCTCACATTTAACTCAATGAAATTCCAAGTTTACACGTTTTTTCCTTAGCATTAAATAGTAACTTATAAATTGCATAATACAATATATGGATCCACTGCCTTGCATCTTATTTGTGTTTTCCACGACCCCAAAAAAACAGAGGTGGCTCGACAGATGAGCCAGTTACCATAATTTGTCTGCTTAGGTTCAGTATGCACCAGGGATGAGAAAATTGATCCATGCAGGAGAATGTATATGTAAAGGCAAAACGTTTTTTTATAGTTTTGGTTAGATCTGCAAAGAGTTTGGCATTCTGCAAATTTCTAATACTGTCTATTTTTGTGCTGAGGATATTAACCCTCCCTATTTGTGCTGGTGCCTACTTTCACCCCAAGGCACTACAGAGTAACAGGCAGTGTAGTCAGGGACATGGGAGAAGGGGATACCACCAGTCCTCCTGTATGGGGCCCCAGGCCCACAGGGTGAATTGGATGTGGGCAGGGAGGATGATCCCCTATATGGCTTTCTATGCAGCAGATGAAAAGCTGGCTTCTTCTCTTCTCCCTCCAGCTGGCTTTCAGCTGCTGCAGAGAGAATCATACAGGAGATCAGTTCCAGTAATTGAGCCCCTCCACCCCCATCTCTTTGCACCATATATTTCCCCCTGCTGTCCAGGCCTCCCTATGTGCTCCCCTACCCGGCAGTGCTGCCAGCTTCCCTCCTCCTCTTCCCACTAGCAGCTGCAAGCACACAATTGGATCCTTTAGGATGGAGAGTGAGGGAAGGGTTCGGTAAATATGTCACATTTCCAGCCTATTCTCTTCCTGAATTAACACAATGAGTGATTGGTATCAAACACTCACTGTGTTCATTCATAACTGAAGCATAGTAAACTGTGTTTTCTTTGGGGGGGGGGGCTGTCAAGTTGGCTGTATGGGTCCTGTGGTTTCTAGTAGGCTTGAGTGTAGTGGGCTACAATGCACATACCATAGGTTGTGGTATGTTGCGGTGGACAAAGGGTTAGTTGAGGTTTCCGATCCATTGTGGTGTATTGACAGCCTATTCATAATGAATGGGTTACCCTAACAAAGCACACAGTATTGTGCAATATAAAATAAGTTATACACCTGCCTTTACACGATGTCAATTGAGGAGGCCTGGATCGCGGTCTCCATGCTAATTCATCCCAAAGGTGTTCTATTATGGGTTGAGGTCAGGACTCTGTGCAGGCCAGTCAAGTTCCTCCACCCCAAACTCGCTCATCCATGTCTTTATGGACCTTGCTTAGTGCGCTGGTGAGCAGTCATGTTGGATCAGGAAGGGGCCATCCCCAAACTATTCCCGCATAAGTTGTCCAAAATGTCTTGGTATGCTGACGCCTTAATAGTTCCCCTTACTGGAACTAAGGGGCCAACATCAGTGTGCTGCTGTTTTTCCACCTCCACCACCCTCTCCAAGCCAACATATCAAACCATTTATTGAAAGGTTTAGGGCAAAAAATATTCAGGATACTATTAAAAAATTCTAATATTCTACACTTCTAATAACATTTCTCCTTAGGATGATCTGTGGCAATTCCTATAAAAGTTACATAAAACCTAAGGATTTATGTACATAGGCATGTGTTTGCACTAAGACTGGCTTTCCCCTGGTCAACAAGAATGCAAAAGCAGCCTAACAGGCACTTATACCCCCTTCTTCCCCTGGCAAATTTTCATCTTTCAGCCCTGTCACACTTTGAATGACAATTGCGTGGTCATGCAACACTACCTATATGAAATTTTTATCATTTTTTTTTCACACAAATAGAGCTTTCTTGTGGTGGTATTTAATCACTGCTGGGTGTTTTATTTTTTGTGCTATACACAAAAAAAAAGCAAAAAAATGTGAAAAATAAAGTTTTTCTTTGTTTCTATTATAAAATTTTGCAAACAAGTAATTTTTCTCCTTCACTGATGTGTGTTGATGAGTCTGCATTGATAGGCAGCACTGATGGGCACTGATGATGTGGCACTGACAGGCGGCACTGATGATGTGGCACTGACTGGCAGCACTGACTGGGCACGGACTGGTGGCACTGCTGTGCACTGATCATCAGGGCACGGATCAGTGCCCTGATGATCGGTGCTGATCTGTCCTCTGACAATTTCCGGTTATCGGCAGTACTTTCCTCGCGCTGTTACAGCATAAGGAAAGTGCAGCCGATAACTGGCAACTGCATTTACCGGTGATAGCGCGGTTGCCAAGTGGTAAAAGTGTATCTTAACCCAAAACTAAAAATGTAATGTATTTTCAGCTACCAGTCCTTGGATGTGGTGGCTGCATTTGTTTTCTTTTTTGGCAATCCTGTTTTATTTTCACACTGGTAATCCTGCAACTATCACACTTGTCCTGGGCGGCTATGTCACTTCTTCACAATATTTTATTGTTGTCACCCTAAGGTTGTTTCACCTGATGTGATCTACAAACCTGTCCATATCTCTTCATCTCCATTTCATGGGGGCAGGAAATTGTTAGTTTACAAAAGATAGCTAGGAAAGAAGATATTCTTTAGTGCAGCCCACAGGAATTGACAAGGACATTGCATTTCTGGCCAGGCTACAGTATTTTCAATATTTGCTAAAATCCACATCGAGGGCCTGTAAGCTGCAATATATTGCATTTTTGTTCTTGGGTTTAGTTATTCTTGAGGACAGATGAGAAAGAAGTAAGACTCAGAAGGGGTTAAGCTGAATTTACCTGAAAACATGCAGTATTTCCACATCTATACAAGCCATTACATTGGTAATTTAACTAATATTCCAAACATTGTGCATGCACTGTTCTGTTAGAGGTAAGGTAAACTAAAAAATACCATACCTAACAGCTCTGTAGAAAAGCTGCAATCAGCTGTATGCTAAGCACAGTTCTCATGATGGATTTCTTCTGTAGCATTTCCATGCCTGCTTTCTGTGAAATGAAAGAAAGATAAAGTGTGAAACCAATATATTGCTCTTGACATGTGGAGGCAAATATAAATGTTGTCACCTATATCACTTCCCTTTTCAGTCTCCATTTCAACCAGAATGCAGTTAACACATTCATAGAGATTTGAGATATACTATATAAAGATATGGCATACATACTGTGATAATGTGGGGCTCCAGATTACCAGCCAGCCAACTTTGTAAAAAACAGTCTTTTATTGTTCAAAACAGCCAAACAAAAATAGCTTTTCTTCAGCATACCAAACAAAAAGAGTCCATAACCCGGGTATACAGAAAACATATGAGGATTTACCTCCCTTCTTGACCATGGCCATTTTTTGCGATACGGCCCTGCGTTATTTTAACTGACAATTGCACAGTCAAGCAACGCTGCACGGAAATTAAATTTACATCCTTTTTTTTTCCCACAAATAGAGCTTTCTTTTAGGGGTATTTGATTGCCTGTGCGTTGTTTAATTTTTGCGCTATAAAAAAAAAGGACTGACAATTTTGAGAAGAAAACAATATTTTTGACTTTTTGCTATTAAACAAAGAATTAAAAAAATCTAAATTTCATCACAAATTTAGGCAAAAATGTATTTTGCGACATGTCTTTGTTAAAAATAAAATCCCAATATGTGTAAATTAATTGGTTTACATGAAAGTTTAACCTTAAGATAACGTTTACAAATGGCGGTATAGATACTGGGATTTTTGAGGGGGAATTTTTACTAGTAATGGTGGCGATCAGCAACTTATAGCGGGCATTCTGACACTGGGGGGGGGGACTGACTTGGTGTCACTGACATCCCCAGTGACACCAACACATTTGATCAGTGCTAATAAAAAGCACTGACACACTGTACTAATGGCATGTGGGCAGGAGGGGGTTAACATCTCGGGCGATCA